AAAAATGTAAGAATCTGTTTTGGATGATGATGATGATGATGATGATGATGATGATGATGCTCTAAATGCAGGGTACTGTTCAGAAATGTCCTCAACTATACCACCCTAAAAGTTCTTGAACAGTCTTGTGGTGAGCACATCGTAGGAATCCACATTAAATAAGGTATTCCTCACACTACGCTATCAATTCCCATGATCAAGATGATTATTAAAAGTTTGAATCATGTCTTGAAATAGAATAAACTAGCCTTCAGTAGGCTTGAACATATTAGGGTATCATCAGGTAAGCTTACAAGATCAAAATACATTAAATAAGGACTGGTTTTCCGACGAGAGGCTAATGTGACAGAGACACTTGAACTATTATAAGTATTTACCATATACCGGTAATGCACAGTGCTATCGATGCAATAAGCCAATCTGATAACTTGGTATCACAACCAGATACACTACTTTTAGTTATGTCTATACATTGATCTGATGCCTACATTCTCAAACACCTTTGTGCACAGTTCCCCCACACGTTCAGACAGGGGTTCCTGGATGTGAGAGCGCTTGTTTAAACCAGTATGGCTGCAAATTATTTGGCACTAAGGTATAAAAAGCACAGTTCATTCATATCATTGTATTTTAGCGCAAATTTTAAAATTTGGATTAGTGAATGAAAATATGATTAAAATTTGATTAGTATAAGAATTGACTTTATATGATAACGAGATTACCAGACTCCTGTTTTCATACATCGAAAATATGCCAAAGGATAATCTGTGTATAATTACTGAATGATTGTTGTTGTGTCTACCACATATCAGTGTACATACTTTGTTACACAGTGGTCTCTGCCTAGTGATATCTCCCTTGTCTCTCTTCAAGATAAACTATCTCTTTCCACTTTTCCAACAAAAAAACAACTGCTTAGATCTATATGAAATCCACACACACAAACAATAAAATCTGTTTTGAATACTTGGCCATCTGCCAGATTGGTGCATTACTTATCTCCACCTCGGGGTCTGTGCAATCATCAGGAGTCAGAATTTCTCATAATACTTGAGAATTTTAAGATGAAAACAAAGCCAGATTGTTTGATGTGTTGCACCTGGTATTTGGACACATCATATCAACAACTAGTGTCAACTAATTGATGGATAATCCACAGTTCCAGAAATTTTGAAATTCTTTTCATCTGACAAATCACATGGTGCTAAACCATCTGTTTACCAAGTTGCACAGTGAAAAAGTCTTCGTCCTGCTAATAATTAGTTAAATCAAGTTCACATCAATCTTAGAACATACACACTGCTTCCCGAGAAGGAGTACAAACACACACACACAAACACGAATTGGAAATATTGATCAACGGAGCAGAAAACCAGTCAGCAAGAAAAGAGACTCTGAAATTTACATGTAGACGATAACATATTTGAATGCAGGGAAAAATGTGAATCTGGCCATTTATGGACAAGAATGAAAAACCATTGTTACAACTCATTTGTTTCAGTGCAATAATGAAATCTGTTTAACTGAACATCAGCAATGTGGACTAGTTAACAAAACTGTATACCAGTAAATCTTCTTTTGTGTTCATTCCCATAGGGGAAATAAAATAAATATATTAATATATAAATATACAGTCAGGTTTTCGATCCTGGCCTTAATCTGGCACACTTTGTTGGTTTCGTAATACATTATTGTTGAAAGAGCACAAAGTAGTACAAAACCAACACACTGAGTGCCTGGTGAAGGTCGGGAGGCTGAAAGCTGGACTATATATATATATATATACACCAGTACTTTAGGTATCTACAAAACAACGCAGGAAGTTTAGGGATGACTATTGGGGAAAATTTAACTATTGATAAAAATGTACAAACGTTAAATTATTATTGCCACACTATTGCGATAGTTGTTCCAGTAGGATTGCAATATTATCGCGGGTTTCCCTACCCTCCAACAAGGAGTAACAACCTGCATTATGTCAAATGATGTCAAGCCTAACACATCGGGTTCCCTCGTCCAGGTGCTGAACTTGCTAGGGAACTTTTAGACCACATTATCGTATGGTATTGATGTTCTGGTAAACTTTCAAAATAACCATACTAAAAGGAAATGGTAAATTATTCACTAGGGGTGGTGGTAATACATGTTTTTAATAATTTTACATCTTTCAACACTGTCAGTAGTCAAGCATTGTATCAATGTCATGTATCAATATTTCATCATTGTGTCACCATCAGCTCATAGACGATCACAATGCAGCAAAAGTTCAATCAATTGGAAAATGCCTAGTTATGTCTATGTTAATCAGAATTTTCTTTTTTAGGTGTTACAAGGGGAAAATGAGCTTAGTCTACAGCATCTCTGGAAAGGCTGAAAACCAAGACTTTTCCATGGAAAACATTAACCAACAATCTTGTCCATCAACCTACACTTTACAATGCACATAGCACACCTAGAAATCATAGAAAATAGAATAAAAGTTAACTCCTTCAAACAGCTTAAAACAATAAATAACAAAAATTAGGAGAGAAAGTCACTTTACCTCAAGAGCTGTTCCGATCATCACTACGAATAACTTCAAATTCACAAATTCTTTCTCCAAGTTTTTAGCGGGCTTTTATGAGGAGTGAGGTGATCAGCATCATTGTGAACTGGCTATTCTAGACATTAACGCAGAGGACAACTGCTGTTTCTTTTGCCCGCTTTCAACGCGACTCCAAGAATCAATATTTGCGAGTCTCAGTGTGGAGGCAGTGTTTGCCAGTGAGACATGGGCAGCCAACTCCACAGATCACACTCTAATCTCTCTAAGTCCAACAAGCAGGTTTCCCCCAGAAGAGTTGTCACCAACCTTATTCTCCTGTGTTAATTAGTCAGTGACTCAGGAGGGATTAAAATTGGTCTATATCTCGCCAACATTGTCTGGAGTTCTTTTCATTACTTATGAAATGCTTGACGACAGTTTATTAATTTTATAGTTGGAGATGTAAATAGCAATAATGTTCTAATGAGTGTGATTCCACTGTTCTTTTCACCTTTTTCTCTCCTCCATTGGAGATTTAACAAATGTGGAGACCAAAAAAAAATGACAACTAGAAACCAGTGTTTTTAGCTCCAAGCTGATCTCATGACAAAGAAATATGTTCACGCTATTATAGACGCAGTGCCCTATCTATTGTACAAGACACACAATATCACTTCCAGGACAAGAAGTCCATCTATCTGCACAAGTTAGCGTTTTATTGAAGGGTGCAATAGTGAGGAAACACCGTATCTCAACATGGTGCATCAATTCATGTTTCAAACATGGGGAAGAAATGCATGATACCTGAAGACTGGTAGCTTTCTGTTTGGCATAATGTAGTCAGAAGAATATTTGAAAATGTGACAGCCAGGACCATCTGACAAGAACATGTTTCACTTGAAGCTAAACCATAAGACTTCAACCTTCAAAACAGATTATGAGAAGACTAATTTTGCTAGAATGCATAGGATGATTTTAATACCCTGCATGAACGTGTGAGATGACAACAGATTTGTGTAATCTGTCGTCACTGTAGTCAGTGTATGAACTCCGACCTTGTCGAGCTCTCCTCTATCATATGTGCTAAACCCTTCAGTTCCTATCAAAGACACTTCCAAATACAGCATACAGCTTTCTTATTTTCATGTTTTGGGGAGTTTTCTTCTCCATCATATGTCAGCCTCGCTGTCCACGTGAGGATGGTGAGTGTACCGGTCTGGTTGGTGACAATGCTGCTGCATTACTTGCCAACAGATAACGAGGAACAACAGCAAGTTGAGGCTTCTGGCAATATGTGCACAAACAAACCTCTCAACACACCATCTTAGCAAGGCTATTACTAAAAAGTATTGACCTCAAATCCTCAATATCATTTTTCAATTGTGCAGAATCATTTCAATGTAAACATTTACAACAGCAAACCTACTTGAAAGGCAACTAAAAGATATTTAGAAATTATCAAAGGGTAAACAGAGATTATGCGTAATAATTCTATGGCCTACTGACACACTAGTCCCCTCAAGCAATAAATCATCAACTGTCAGCATCCTTAAGTCAATGCTGGAATCATTGACCTTTCTGGAGCATTGCATTTGACAACCAATCACACAAAGTCATCACAAACACAGACCATCGGGGTACATCAGACATGAACCTCTGACCGCAGGTGATGTCCCATCTAAACACACCCAGTAATCTAATTACAATGCTTTCAACCTCTGATAATGGATGGCTCATGACATCCTTTCGATTTTATTGATAGACCAGAGGCTAACACTAGTTGTCACTGATCATAGCAACTTCCATATACATAGTATAAAAACAAGAAGACCAATTCCTGTAATCGCTGGAGACAGACAGTAAAAGCAAACTTATGTAGCCCTTCATGATCCCTGTTTCCTAAGCTTCGTTGTCAGTACACATCCTTCCTACATATTCTAAAAAAAGCAGATCTGTACCGACAGGAAGTGAAGTGAAGGTCATTTACAATGCAGCAGATCTGTACCAACAGGAAGTGAAGTGAAGGTCAGTTACAATGCAGCAGATCTGTACCGACAGGAAGTGAAGTGAAGGTCATTTACAATGCAGTCAGCAAAAGACAATAATCTGGATGGTCCAGTTCCCAATGACATTGCCTGGATTAACAATGTGTCATCGATACATACTACCTCATTTTATGTCTGTCTAATCATATCTAGGGGTGTCCACCAGTAATGGTCTGGAATGTGAGGTTCTAACAGGGTCTGAGTTACTGAGGTTTTTCTGTATTCTAGTTTCATCACAGGTGCTTGTAAATAATCCAGTCGGATTCACACAATCAGCAAGGTCACACTGTTACCGCTTGACTGTCTTCCGACCACTCTTACAACAAGCATTGGGTTCTGGGGACCTATTCTGTCCTGGAATCCCAAAGGAGTTTTGCCTGCAGAAAATACACAATGAAAAGGGATTTCTTGAATATTGTGTATTGTCCCACCTTATCAAGTAGGTGATAGCACTGTGCAGTTCCCTCAATCCGTTCCCGTGTGGCCTCCAGCTGACTGGTGAACTGCTGCAAGTGCTTCTTCAGCATCCGAGCCAGATCTTTGTAACCTGTCACCTCGTTACCTGTCTGTGTTAACATGCTAGCTTCCTCCAACATGTCATTGCCTTTCTCGATGTGTTTCTGCAAAAAAAGTGTCAATATATGATGAAAGACATTAACAGAGTAAATAAAGATGCTGATACTCATATAGTTTTATTTCTCACCAGCATCCGTTTCCATGGGAAATATCAAATGTGGAGACTGAAATAATGAATCAGTACTCTTCTATGGAATCAGGCGTTCTTCAGTAGGAGCTCTTATTTGTATAGTAGATCATTTCAGTAGAAGCACAATTCGTATTCTTGTTCTGGCTAATGAGCTAGCATAACCAATCAAAAAACCCAACACTGTGAATAACAGCAGTTTAGTTTACTCAAACAAAACATGCACTCAAAAGACACCCATTGTGGGACTAAACATTTTTGTCTTTACAAACTCTCCTGTTCAAATCAATCCAGCCTCAGTCAACACCAGCAATAGCATTAATCAAATTCCTATTTTCATTGATTATGTTGATTTCTCAATCAAACTAAAGTTCCATCCATCAAATATTTTGTCTGCAGTTGTTCCTCATCCCCAGAGCATTTGCTGTGAACAAGGAACTAGGCTGACTAGAATAAATCCAATAATCGGAAAGATCTACAAGAATAAACCAAAGGGAAATCTGGCAACATTTCTTTCCCGCTCACACCTTAAAGTGAAGTGAAGCCAACAGCATCCCACCACTTCCGCATCTACACAATGACCTACATTTGTTTTTTGTGTGTCTGGTTCTTAGTTGTCCTAAAGAAAACCAACTAGTTTATCTGTTTTAGAAGTTCTAGAGGAGGCCAGTGGTCTGCAGCCACCTGCAGTCATTCACTCTCAACCTAAATGTCAACTTTAGCCCCCTTGATTACATGGTTGCAGTCAACTGTGAATTTTTGGACTGTTATTGGCTTCGCAAGGCACGTATTTGACATCCTGTTTTGATAAACATCACCAAATATTGTGCTGGAAGATCTTTAGATCTGTAATTGTTCATTCTGAGAATTGTGTAATATTCTAGGGACAATATGTTAGGTGTTGCAACAGATGAGTGCAGTTCAACTGATACACCGTCCTTCATAATATTGTCATTATTTGCTTTTTATATGATTAAAAACACTGGTCAACAGTATATTTCAGTTTTTATAGCTTAATGGTTGGTAACATGATCAAATATTCATATTAATTCTGGACTCATTTTCATCTTTCCCATCAAACATTTATTTTTTATATGGTGATTATTGGGCCGTCATCATCATGTCATAAGGTCAACATAGTTGTTTTACATCCAAGACATACTGATATTTCACACTGTAATATATACATTATATTGTAAATTGAATGTTCGCCTGTTTAATTAAGATCACAGTACACTTCAAGGAGATCGAGATAATACATCTCATAGTGGAGTCAAAAGGTATGTGTCTAGGAAACTGACTTATGCGCACACACTGCCCTAGCTATGCTTATAATAACTAATCTTTCTCATACAATGTTAAAGATAAACAGCCAACAAGGGAACTTATGTTAACTGGGAGCCTGATTCGCTGGCAATATTTCAGTATCAACTTCCGCATCTGCTTGTATGGAGAATAGCCACCACAGAGACTGTCATGCTTGCTTTGGACATAGCACACCTTGGGGAATACATTCACAAGTCACCACTCCAGTAGCTACAGTCAACACACAGCAGGAAGTGAAATACTCACTGAAATCTAGTTACCGATACTTCAAAGCGTCTGCGATGACAATATGGCCACACATATTTACAATGGCACGTTCTGATTGGTTGATATTATCAGACAAACATAATATGTCAGACGCGCGGTGAGATTTGTGCTGTAAATATAATTCAAATTTTGACCCTAAGTGCGGTTCTGGGTGAAAACAGTGCACTGTATGCCTGTTCAGGTTCGGCCAAGGGAACACCTCAACTTGTGTCATGAAAATGAAATAAAAAATGTTGAAATATGAAAATGAAGGAAAACAATCTAAAGGCTCCCTTACAAAATTCCATTTTTGAGGAAAAACCCGTCCTCTCAGCATAATTGAAATGGATGAAATATTTTCTGGCAGCAGGAGAGTTGACTCCAACAACTGGAGGCTGATAACTCTCGATGGTGGAAACTTGCATCACAATTTCACCATGTTCTATATCATTTGATGATTGTGTGTAACTGTTTATCTGCTTTCTATCACTTGTTTTAGCTTATCATTACACACTGTATGTAGGCTCAACATTACACACTATATCTAGGTCTGACATTACACACGATACGTAGGCTTGACATTACACACGATATGTAGGCTTGACATTACATACGATATGTAGGCTCGACATTACACACTATATGTAGGCTCGACATTACACACTATATGTAGGCTCGACATGACACACTATATGTAGGCTCAACATTACACACTATATGTAGGCTCGACATTACACACTATATGTAGGCTTGACATTACACACTATATGTAGGCTTGACATTACACACTATTTGTAGGCTTGACATTACACACTGTATGTAGGCTTGATATTACACACAATATGTAGGCTCGACATCACACACTATATGTAGGCTTGACATTACACACTATATGTAGGCTTGACATTACACACTATATGCAGGCTTGACATGACACACTATATGAAGGGTTGACATTACACACTATATGTAGGCTTGACATGACACACAATATGTAGGCTTGACATGACACACTATATGTAGGCTTGACATTACACACTATATGTAGGCTTGACATTACACACAATATGTAGGCTTGACATTACACACTATATGCAGGCTTGACATTACACACTATATGTAGGCTCAACATTACACAATGTATGTAGGCTTGACATTACACACTAAATGTAGGCTTGACCTTCCACACTGTATGTAGGCTTAACATCACACACTATATGTAGGCTCGACATTACACACTATATGTAGGCTCGACATTACACACTATATGTAGGCTTGACATTACACACTATATGTAGGCTCAACATTACACAATGTATGTAGGCTTGACATTCCACACTGTATGTAGGCTTGACATTCCACACTGTATGTAGGCTTAACATAACACTGTATGTAGGCTCGACATTACACACTATATGTAGGCTCAACGTTACACAATGTATGTAGGGTCGACATTACACACTGTATGTAGGCTTAACATAACACTGTATGTAGGCTCGACATTCCACACTGTATGTAGGCTCGACATTACACACTATATGTAGGCTCAACATTACACAATGTATGTAGGCTTGACATTACACAATGTATGTAGCCTTGACATTCCACTCTGTATGTAGGCTTAACATAACACTGTATGTAGGCTCGACATTACACACTATATGTAGGCTCAACATTACACAATGTATGTAGGCTTGACATTCCACACTGTATGTAGGCTTGACATTCCACACTGTATGTAGGCTTAACATAACACTGTATGTAGGCTTGACATTCCACACTGTAGTGAGTGAGTGAGTATGGTTTTACGCCGCTTTTAGCAATATTCCAGCAATATCACGGCGGGGGACACCAGAAATGGGCTTCACACATTGTACCCATGTCGGGAATCGAACCCGGGTCTTCGGCGTGACGAGCGAACGCTTTAACCACTAGGCTACCCGACCGCCCTCCACACTGTATGTAGCCTTGACATTCCACACTGTATGTAGGCTTAACATAACACTGTATGTAGGCTCAACATTACACACTATATGTAGGCTCAACGTTACACAATGTATGTAGGCTTGACATTCCACACTGTATGTAGGCTTGACATTCCACACTGTATGTAGGCTCGACATTACACACTATATGTAGGCTCAACATTACACAATGTATGTAGGCTTGACATTCCACACTGTATGTAGCCTTGACATTCCACACTGTATGTAGGCTTAACATAACACTGTATGTAGGCTCGACATTCCACACTGTATGTAGGCTCGACATTACACACTATATGTAGGCTCAACATTACACAATGTATGTAGGCTTGACATTCCACACTGTATGTAGCCTTGACATTCCACACTGTATGTAGGCTTAACATAACACTGTATGTAGGCTCGACATTACACACTATATGTAGGCTCAACATTACACAATGTATGTAGGCTTGACATTCCACACTGTATGTAGGCTTGACATTCCACACTGTATGTAGGCTTAACATAACACTGTATGTAGGCTCGACATTACACACTTAATGTAGGCTCAACATTACACACTATATGGAGGCTCGACATTACACACTATATGTAGGCTTGACATGACACACTATATGTAGGCTTGACATTACACACTATATGTAGGCTTGACATTACACACTATATGCAGGCTTGACATTACACACTATATGTAGGCTTGACATTATACACGATATGTAGGCTTGACATTACACACTATATGTAGGCTCAACATTACACAATGTATGTAGGCTTGACATTACACACTAAATGTAGGCTTGACATTACACACTGTATGTAGGCTTAACATCACACACTATATGTAGGCTCGACATTACACACTATATGTAGGCTCGACATTACACACTATATGTAGGCTCGACATGACACACTATATGTAGGCTCAACATTACACAATGTATGTAGGCTTGACATTCCACACTGTATGTAGGCTTGACATTCCACACTGTATGTAGGCTTAACATAACACTGTATGTAGGCTCGACATTACACACTATATGTAGGCTCAACATTACACAATGTATGTAGGCTTGACATTACACACTGTATGTAGGCTTAACATAACACTGTATGTAGGCTCAACATTCCACACTGTATGTAGGCTCGACATTACACACTATATGTAGGCTCAACATTACACACTGTATGTAGGCTTGACATTACACACTGTATGTAGGCTTGACATTACACACTGTATGTAGGCTTGACATGACACACTGTATGTAGGCTTGACATTACACACTATATGTAGGCTTGACAATACACACTATATGTAGGCTTGACATTACACACTATATGTAGGCTTAACATTACACACTGTATGTAGGCTCGACATGACACACTATATGTAGGCTTGACATTACACACTGTATGTAGGCTCGACATTACACACTGTATGTAGGCTCAACATTACACACTGTATGTAGGCTCGACATTACACACTATATGTAGGCTCGACATGACACACTATATGTAGGCTTAACATTACACACTGTATGTAGGCTTGACATTACACACTGTATGTAGGCTCGACATGACACACTGTATGTAGGCTTAACATAAGACTGTATGCAGGCTTACCATAACACTGTATATAGGCTTGACATTACACACTGCATATGCTTAACACTACACTCTATGTAGGCTTAAAGAAAGTAATACTTAAAGACATGTAAAACTCTCTAAAATAGCAGCAAACATCATATTATCTTAGCAAATAAGAGAAATATCTTCTGTAAAACAATATTATGCTCTGAAATACAAAAACATTCCATTGTCTTGTGTATAAGGATGACTAGAGGGTGGGTTTTTCACCCAGGACATCTCAGGGCATTTCTTGTGTCAATCAGTATAACACTGTTTATGAGGGCATTCACATTTTATCAAACACTGGCAAGTTGAAGGTCGTGTGTGGGATGATCTCTGCAACTTTACAAGCCATAGCGCTGGCGCACTGGGAACTGTCAAAAGCTGTGTGTGAAGGCTACCTGAATATCAGTCTTATACAGTAATATAGGAAAGACTATCCACTGGGGATGGCTATCTATGCACATCTATAATTGTTAACTAAATATCGATCAAATATCCATAAATATCAGAGCAGTAACACTGAGCAAATACGAAAAAAAAATCCAAAAGAAATCAACTTTTTTCACCCCACTGGTGAGTGGTGGCACATATATGTATGGATTACTTTGTGGACATATAAGATACATTGTATATCAAAAACAGCTGCTTTCCATCTTCGGCAATTGACATGAATGACAGTAATAAGTCTGTTTTCATTATCTAAGCTTGATTTGATCACAATAGTTCATGTAAGATATCATCGATGACTCAATTTTCATATCGATAATCTTTAATATTTCTTCACATCAATGATAATTTTGACTATCAATGTTTTTAGCCAGCCCTACTAGCCACACATACAAACACAATTGTCAAGGTCAGGTTACAACAAATAACATTCTAGACAGCAAATGATCCCCATTCGCCAAATAACAAATTAGTGAATTTGTAAATTCACTGCTCACAATTTCAGGACCAAAGAGGAAAAAGAAGATTGATGTATTTAATGCCATCAACAGCCATGATGATGTCTGTTTTGTAGAATTCTAGGAGGGATCAGTTAGTCAGGACAAGAACAGTGGCAATGGGTACTCACAACTCTTCTAACCCCAGCCACATCCCCATATTGCTCCATCCATATTCAGCACCATACCGCACCTGCAAATCTCCAGTACCATCCTGCACTGACCAGGTCAATACAGCTCATATCAAACGTTCAGACAGGCAGGTATATGGCTGCCGTTGTAGCCACCATCACTGTTGCTATGATACGCAATTCATCACCACTGCTCCATTCATTAAAGTGACAAACTAGTGTTTTTCCCAGCCTAGAAATCCAATAATGTAATCAAAATGCTTTTGATCAGTGCTGACTGTCAGTATGATTAGGGATGTCTTGTGAATTACTGTTAGGGAACAATGTATTATTAAATAGTCAGTCAGTTACCAGCACGGATAATTTATTTTACATCTCTTGTAAGATGCAAGATTTTTCAGTTTGTCGACTTACACACTGGAAATACTCTGAGCTGTGTTCTCCTAATGGCAACTATTTAAATCCATCTCAACAAATGTTTGCAATCTTCTGACACATTCATTTTTGATAGATAAATACATTAATGATGTTGGAAAATTGATATCTAAAAATCCTACAGGACACAGCAAGTTGAATGTGTTCAATATTCTTGCTGAAAACATGTCCAGCTTGTGAATTACTTTGCAAGAAACTAACATAAACATTACCGCCTACATGGGACTTGTTTTATGGAAAGAACATATGCTGAGTTGGCTATCAAGGTAATATTTCTATCATGGGATAACATTTATACTAAGTTATCTTATAATAATTAGATCTACATCAAGTGCTTTTATGAGTTATCATGATGTATAAATATTACACCATGATAACTCATAAAAGCACTTGATGTAGATCTAATTATTATAAGATAACTTAGTATAAATGTTATCCCATGATAACTTCCCCTCCGTCTGAAAAAGTTTGGACCCCAAACGTGTAAAATAAAAATAATTAAGGCTTAGATGGACAATGTATAAATATTACACCATGATAACTCATAAAAGCACTTGATGTAGATCTAATTATTATAAGATGGGATAACATTTATACTAAGTTATCTTATAATAATTAGATCTACATCAAGTGCTTTTATGAGTTATCATGGTGTAATATTTATACATCATTTCATATAATTATAGTTTAGCAAGTAATAATTATCATTAGGTAAAATGATGTATAAATATTACACCATGATAACTCATAAAAGCACTTGATGTAGATCTAATTATTATAAGATAACTTAGTATAAATGTTATCCCATGATATTTCCACCAAAGTGACCTTCTGTTCTTATATCTAGCAGATACAAACTAGCTTGAGCTTTTGCCAGACATTAAATTTGTTCCTGGGGAAAAACTGTGTACAAGCAACATTCCACCATTTGTATTTGGATATTCATAATTTAATAATTTTAAGTGATAAATAGTCAAAGGAGCACAAAGAATGAATATTTATAAACGATATGAATATTTTTCATATTTTTTTCAGTTTAACACAATTCCCACAAACCATCTGGGACATTGTCTGGAACTCCAACAAAAATCAGAAGATGGTTACATACCATGGCAGAGAAATAGAACTTCTCGAAGTCTTTCTGCTGTATCCGGGCTGCCTTCAGGTTGTCTGCTGTGCAGGCATGCCTCTGTATGTTATTACTGCCATCATTACTGGTCCACGAGATCAACTGCAATGAATAATAAATCAAATCACTCTTCTACATCAAAATAACTCATAAACTCATTGCAAAAAAAATTGCAACCACTTCAAAAGGAGATGTGAGCACCGCACACAGCAGATATGTATTGTTATTGAATAACTGATATACAACCTGGAATAAGTTGTCTGTTGTGTTTTGAAACACTTGAAGTAGAATTGTTCTACCATGAAGCTCCAGCAGATATAATCTGATTTTCTTTATGTCATTAGCAGTAACCATACTGCGACTTCTTTTTACACTTCTCATATCCGAGACGCCTTGAATAAGACACTTTCATTATTCAGTTTCAAAATCAAACTCAGCAATCCCCATGGAAACAAACAACCCAAAAGGATTTCAAAAGTTTCCAGTTCCAGGCACTGAAGGTGTTGCTATGCAACCAGACAATGTTAAACACTGAAATACAATTATGTTCCTCAGTACCAGATGTTGTCTCAGAATGGGAGTCAAGTCCTCATCCAATCAAAACTTGCTTTCAAACTGTGAATCCAATGAGAAGTCATCTTTCAAATTCAGAGATATCTATGAATGTAAAGCACTATCTTGTCAGGGTTCAAGTCATCACTTAGCCCTTTAAACTATGACCAACTAGCTGACACACAAACTATGTCAGAACACAACTTTATTCCCTCTCAGACAGCAATCTGGAGGCACATTGAATATGTACCAGAATATACGTACAGACATAAATAAATATGAATATACATACAGATTTAAACAAGAAAGAAGTGAGCAAAGTTCACATACCCCCGTTATCCCTGCTGGTCAACAACAAATAGTAAATAGTTTGTTAATTAATTAAATATACCTGTTGCTTTAAGTCAGAGGAACTGCCCTTTCCTTTGTAACCCCATGAGGATGCATTATGTTTGAAATGAACACATGTTTTTGCAAATATATTTCAATCTAGTGTGGGATAATCAATGCTTAGCACAACATACATTCTTGGAATCCTTTGATACTGGAAATTAACTACAAAGCATGACGCATACTTATTATACATTAAATGAAAAAGAGCAAAAGAGAAAACTTTCAGAATCTTATAAAAGATTTAAAAAGATCATAGTGGTTAATCAACTATTTAATCAAGTTTGCTGAAGCTCGGATACATAATACTGTAAACATGGATCGTACAAAAACTCTACCCAAAATTTATGTTTCACCATGATTCCATGGAAACGGCAAAAATAAAAAAATTCAGAATCTTCAAACTAGCAAAAGGCACAAGTACTCATTGTGGTAAATGGGTGTAGCACGTTTGGTGAAGCTAGGGTGCAATGTTAAAAAGTTATGGGCAGTACAAAAGCTTGGATGGAAGGACAGACAGACGGAACGCTATATACCCCTGATTTACTTCGTAAACGGGGGTATAATAAAAATGAATATACATACAGATTTAAATAAACATGATGTGTGTGTGTGTGTGTGTGCATATAATACCACATGTAAACGTGCTAAGAATTTAAAAAACAAAATGTTGCAAATTGACAGATCAAATAATTTGCTTGTGAAAGTGTTAAGCATGCAGACAAAAGGCTGACAGGAGTGTGGAAGCCCGGGTACAGGTACAGTGAGGGAGAGTTGTGTTGATGCATGTGTACATGGAGATAACAAGCTTTACATCTGGACCATCCTCAACTCCTCAGGTCCGCCATGGAGGGAGGAATGGGTAAAAGGCAAGGGCCAGCCACAGTGTATGGCTACATCACGTGAAGATGAAGATAAATTCCTTACAACCAATGCAGTAGGCACACATGTCTACATCTGTACAATGACAAGTTACAGCTTCATTCTGTATTTCTAGGGGTTACATAACTGTGGGGCTACATAACACCTGACAACAGATCTTAAAGCAGCAAGACAGAGCAATGATCATAACTGAATACACCATAATAAAATCTGATAAAAATCTGAGCAGGTTATGATTTATTATTTATAAAAAGAACGCATTCCAAATATGTATTATTTGAGTACTTACTGAAGTGTTCTTTTTACAGCAAAATGGGAGGAGAGATCCTTTCAAAGAACGTCTACCTTTCATGACTGGTGACATTATGAAATTGTTGGCTAGTGTACTACTACAGCCGTGGTACAACCTGATCAATATTAATGTATCACTTCCAGTGAATGAACTCTGCAGATCGGATTAGATTGCAACAATAACAAGCCCTGTCCTACTGGTCGGCCAACTGTAATCATCAGTGAATGACATGTCCCTCCGTTTAGCACCATTTTACCACACTTTGCAACAACTACCATAATGACTCAGTAATTTGAAGACAATTTCAAATTCAAATATGTTCGGGTTACACTGATTGGATTAAATGTGGCGTGATTAAGCCTACGTGTATTTGACCAGGCCAGTGAGACATGAATATTGATAACAAATCTCAAAGTACTTCCTTCAATTCATCCGGTTTTCAAAATAAAAATCATTAGCTTAAAAACAGACTTACAACAGGCTCACCTACAAATGTGAAAATAACTGAATCAGTTCTGTTCCAAACACAGCAACATGTTTCTATAACTGCTGACTTGCATATGTATGTAGTTGTTGCAGGCAAGATCTGAATCTCACTCATCACACATGTCACAATGACCTAACACAAAGCTAAACTTTAAGGTCAAGTTCAATTTCAAACCTGGCAATCCAAACACAGAATAACATCCCAGCTGCAACACCATCCCAAGATGAACACTGTAACCTCTCCAAGCAAACCTACCAGACACTTACAGTTAAATGTGTACAGGTGTGACAAGTGGCTCAGCTGCAAGGTAATGGAGCCAGTCAGCCAGAGCCCCTCCAAGATGTGGGGTAGGTGTGAAGTCAGCCACATGCCTGCAGCGTGAGGCAAACACCGGGACAAGGACATGCAGTGTATACAGTCACCCAGGTAAGTAGGCACTGGTGTAGACACTACAGGAGTACAGTCACCCAGGTAAGTAGGCACTGGTGTAGACACTACAGGAGTACAGACACCAGTTAAGTAGGCACTGGTGTAGACACTACAGGAGTACAGACACCAGTTAAGTAGGCACTGGTGTAGACACTACAGGAGTACAGTCACCCAGCTAAGTAGGCACTGGTGTAGACACTACAGGAGTACAGTCACCAGGAAAGTAGGCACTGGTGTAGACACTACAGGAGTACAGTCACCCAGCTAAGTAGGCACTGGTGTAGACACTACAGGAGTACAGACACCAGGTAAGTAGGCACTGGTGTAGACACTACAGGAGTACAGTCACCCAGCTAAGTAGGCACTGGTGTAGACACTACAGGAGTACAGACACCAGGTAAGTAGGCACTGGTGTAGACACTACAGGAGTACAGTCACCCAGGTAAGTAGGCACTGGTGTAGACACTACAGGAGTGCAGACACCAGGTAAGTAGGCACTGGTGTAGACACTACAGGAGTACAGTCACCCAGGTAAGTAGGCACTGGTGTAGACACTACAGGAGTACAGACACCCAGGTAAGTAGGCACTGGTGTAGACACTACAGGAGTACAGACACCAGGTAAGTAGGCACTGGTGTAGACACTACAGGAGTACAGTCACCCAGGTAAGTAGGCACTGGTGTAGACACTACAGGAGTACAGTCACCCAGGTAAGTAGGCACTGGTGTAGACACTACAGGAGTACAGTCACCAAGGTAAGTAGGCACTGGTGTAGACACTACAGGAGTACAGTCACCCAGGTAAGTAGGCACTGGTGTAGACACTACAGGAGTACAGTCACCAGTTAAGTAGGCACTGGTGTAGACACTACAGGAGTACAGTCACCCAGGTAAGTAGGCACTGGTGCAGACACTACAGGAGTACAGACAACAGGAAAGTAGGCACTGGTGCAGACAGTACAGGAGTACAGTCACCCAGGTAAGTAGGCACTGGTGTAGACACTACAGGAGTACAGACACCAGGTAAGTAGGCACTGGTGTAGACACTACAGGAGTACAGACACCAGGTAACACAGGTGCTTATCACCCATGGGACACAGCCCATCACAGGAAGGAAGGTCAATTTGCCCTGGTTCAGATGCAGGTCAAGAATAGCTGTACAGATGTCACCTCGTCATAAAAATATGAGTTCAGTTTATAATCCTCTCATAATGCCTAACAATTAAAACCATCCCAGTACGCCATGAACCAGATTTTGAACATAAATGTTTTACCGGGTTTCTCTTGAAATAAGATACCCCATTTCTGGGCAAATCTGTTGCCAGTGTGTGATGTACCTGGACATGAATCTATCTTAAAGATACACAAACAATATGTCTGTCAAAAACAATATTTTTGTAAGCGGTTTAAAGGGCTATGGTGAGTATGAGTTTAGAGCTATTCAGACTGGTTGCTACTACTGGACACCACAGAATGTGTGACAATGACATGATTACAATCACACTGACAACACAGATAAGGAGGCATCTCGTCCCTAACACTTGACTCACAATAACCAGACTCACTCCATATCTAGGCATAGCTAGCCAGGGGCAGTTCAGGAAGCTGTTGTTGAAGTACTGAGGACTGACTGACGACTGACCAGGACCAGACAATATGTCCCCTTGTGTAACAAGTTGAAGTCTTGATAACAATGTGGATGCTAAAGAAGACTATATTAAGTCAGGTTACAGGGCTGAAGTCAACAAGTCAAGGCGACATCAAAAAGAGACCTACGTATCTGGAAACAGATACGGCTGCTGACAAAATAAGACAGTCACTACAAAAGGACTACCTAGCGATGCACACATATTACAGTTCCAGTAATGTTGGGGTACTGACCAAGCAGGTCACTGCCCTGATCAGCTCTATCTAGCAAGGAAACTGCCCTTATCTGGTATGTTTAATGGTAAGTTGTCAGGATCAGACAGTATGTCATCATGATGTTCTCCATTCAAAACAGGACTTACCTTCATCTCAACTGTTGGTGTTGTTGGGAGCATGGGAGTGTTGCAGCACAGGACAACTTGTC